GATAACGTTGTTATAAATGTTAGTATAAGTTTGAAAAAAATTAGGTCCAGTATCACTTCAGAGAATATAAGTGAAAGGTAAAAGAAGCCATTTTCAATGGAAGACCAGCTTTAGGTAAGAGAAAAAAAGAAAAAGAAAAACAAAAAAAACCTATAAGATAAAGCAAAAAAGAAAGAAAACAAACAAACCCCAAACCTGACATCCTTCTTTAGCCCACTGTGATAGTATCACCACCACAAAATTGCCACTGCTTATTGGCACAACAAATAATGGCTAGTATTGATCCATTCATACACAGAGCTAGATATGGGTCAAGCACAAATAAGAAAAATGTGACAACTATGTCCCAGCTAGACATTATCTTTAAGTACCATCCATTTCATTTCACAACCCTAGATATACACAAGATCAAGAGTTTCAAAAGAAAAAACATTTTGGAAGGGATTATTTTGGTTATTCTTGTGCCCCAAATGGCAGTCTTTTAAACATTTATATTTTGTGAAATAAATCTCTTATGAAACCCCATTAGATAACAAAGCAACTTAATCAAAACAAAGATTGCCACCAATACGACTCCCATTCAGTAATTTTAAATGGGGTAAAACATTATTGTTCTAGTTTATTTGGTCATGATTTTTATTTCAGGAATACAATTAGCAACGAGAGTTGAAGACAGTAGAACCACAGTTGCAGTCTCCTTCACTCCGCCTTGTTTGTCTATTTTTTCCTGATTATCTAAATAATATAGTTCGTTTTTATGATAAGTACATAAATAAATTTTGAATCTTTCTTGGCATTCATTACTTTATCTTAAAAACACAGAGTATTTACTTTTTGTGTGGCAAAGGAGGCCTAATGGGGAACCTTGATCTTCATCTCAACTTGACAGTAAAAAGGTGCTCCTTCCTTCCCCTTTTGCTGCCATGTGTCTGAAAAAGACTAGTATCAAGAATATATAAAGACCTTTCAAAACTTAAGAGTGAACAAAGTTAAATTACAAAGTGGGCAAAAGACATGAATATACATTTCACTGAAAAGAATGTATGTTTGGAAAATCAGAGCATGAAAAGATATCAACATCATTAGCCATTAGGGAAATGAAAAATTAAAACCCCAGTGGGATTTCAATATATACCCAATGGAATAGTTAAAATAAAAAATAATGACAACCCTGAGTGCTAGCAAGGCTGCAAAGAAACTACATAACTGCTGCATGGTTGATGGGAATGTAAAATAACAAAGTCATTCTCTATAACAATTTGATATTTTCTTTAAAAAGCAAACAAACAGTTTAACAGGCAATGACATTATGACTCAGTAATTTCACTCCTGGGCATTTACAGCAGAGTAATTTTTAAAAACCACATTAATTCAAAAACTTTACACAAATATTCAGAACAGCTTTATTTTTAATAACCCCAAACTGGAAACAAACCAGACATTTTTGAAGGAGTGAATAAGTTTAAACAAAATGTATTACATTTGTGCAATGAAACACTATTTAGCAACAAAAAGAAACAAGTTATTCATGTAGACAACAACCTCCATAAATCTTCAGAGAATTATGCTGAGTAAATAAATCTAATCACAAAAGATTATATGATGTAGAATTTCCCTTGTATAACATTACTGAAGTGACAAAATTATGAGAATGGAGGAAAGATTAGTGGTTGTCAAGGGTTAAAGACGAGGTGAAAAAGAGGAAAATGGATATGGCTAGGAAAGAACAACATGAGGGATTCCATGGTAATGGAAATATCCTGTATGTTGACTATATCAATCTCCATATATTGGTTATGATATTGTACTATACTTTTGCAAGATGTTACCATTGGGAGAACTGAGATAAGGTTATAAGAGATCTCTCTGTATTATTTCTTACAACTGTAAGTATATCTACAATTATATCAAAATTTAAAGGTTATTTTAAAAAGAGAGTTCTTAAATTAATAATTCATTCTCCCAACCTTAGAAATTAGAAAAGGAAGATTAAAGTGAACACAAAGCAAAAAAATGAAGAAATATTACAGATTAGAGCAGAAATCAATCAAATAGAAAATAAAACAAAAAACAATAAAGAAATTTAAAGATCCAAAGTTTGAATCTTTGAAAAGATAAACAAAATTGAGAAATATTTAGATGATGAATAATAAAAAAGGCCGGGCATGGTGGCTCACGCCTGTAATCCCAACACTTTGGGAGGCTGAGGCAGGTGGATCACTTGAGGCCAGGAATTCGTGACTAGCCTGGCCAACATGGTGCAACCCTGTCTCTACTGAAAATACAAAAATTAGTGAGGCATGGTGGCGGGCGCCTGTAATCCCAGGTACTCGGGAGGCTGAGGCAGGAGAATCACTTGAACCCAGGAGGCAGAGGTTATGGCGAACCCAGATCCTGCCATTGCAATCCAGTCTGGGCGACAACAGTGAAACTCCATCCTAAAACAGAAAAAAAAAAAAAAAAGACAGAAAGAAAACAGAGAAAATGTGTTGGTTACCAAAATCAGGAACAAAGGTTACTACTGCCAATCCTCCCCAATCCCATCCATCATTGTGTGATCTTGGCCACTCAGCCTTTTTTTGGTAAAAAGGGAATGATAATATCTCTCAAGAGTGTTGCAAGATTTAAATGAAATTAAATGTGTTGAAAGCTTCTGTAAAAAATGTACAGAGTACGCAGAAGAATCTCAAATTTTATGTTTCTCAGTTTTCCCTTTACATTCTCATTCTTATTGTCATCTGCCTCTCACTGACGCTGCTGCTTCTCATGTAGCCCCCTAAGTGCAGACTAGTTCTCAGCCTCAGCTCTCTCACCACTGCCTCTAGAAGTAGAACAAGTGTCCTCTTGCCGAATACTTTTACTTCCTTCTCCTCAAACCCCTCCAGCTTGGAATCTCATACCATTTGATTATACAGATCACTCTCTCCCAATTTTCAGTCACTTTCCCTCATTCTTTGAAGTCTTTACAACCTGTCTTACTGCCATTATTTTGATATCTCATTTAAATTACTTATCTTCTTTCACATTTGACCTTGTCATTTCCAATGCACTTGCTGTCTTCCGTATCTAGCTATTCAATCTCATGATCTCAGATCAAACCACATTATTACTCATAATTGCAAATTTTTACGATCTAACTTTTAAGTCTCCTGCCCTCTGAACATTAACTTCTACCTTTCTAGTTCATTCCATTTACTACAACTTCAAAAATAATGTGACTCATCCTGAATCTACAATCTCATACAATATACAATATAATCCTTATACAATTCTCAATCCAATGTTCTCCACACATCCTTTACTTCTCAGCAAACCTACCTTCAAAACATTTAAATAATTTTTACTACTGCTGTTATCCACCCAGGCCAAGCCAACATCATGTCTCACCTGAATTTTTATCCCCCTTCCTGCTTCTGCATTAGCCCTCACCTTCAATCTATTCTCAATACCCAAGCAAGAATATAACATAATATAATGGAGATAATGCCACTCTACTTACCCACTTTTAAGGACTTCCACCCTGAGTCAGTATTGTACAGATTATACAGCTCTACTCATGCTCCCTACAAGGCACGCCTCTTTGATCACAGCCCTGTTGCTCTTCCCCTCAGGCCTCTGTTCCAGCTTTACTGTACCCAACACTTCCTGGTGCTCTTTGGGCAGGCTGGCAATTGTTTCTGTGTTAGTCCATTCACGCAGCTATAACAAAATACCATAGACTAAGTAGCTTATAAATGACAGAAATTTGTTTTTCACAGTTCTGGAAGCTAAGTCCCAGATCAAGGTGCTCACATATTCCATATATGGTGAGGCCCTATTTCCTAGTTCATAGACCCATCTTCTTCTTCATATGGTGGAGTCATCATATGGTGGAAGGGACAAATCAACCCCCCCAGGCATCCTTTATAAAGGTACCAATCTCCTTCATGAAGGCTCTGTATTCATGACATAATCATCTTCCAAAGACCTTAACTTTTAATAGTATATTGTGAATTAGATTTCAATATATGAATCTGGGGGGATTGTCAACATTCAGACCATAGCACTCTCACATTAGATGCTTTGTACATGGTTTCTCTGACTGAAAACACTTGTCTTCAAATTCCCCCCTGGATTGTTTCCTTACCTCTTGGATTAGTTCCTTCTCATGCTGCTAATAAAAACATATCCTAGACTGGGTAATTTATAAAGGAAAAAGGTTTAATTGAGTCACAGTTCTGCACAGCTGGTGAGACCTCAAGAAACTTACAACCATGGTGGAAGGGGAAGCAACCATCCTTCTTCACATGGTGGCAACAAGGAGAAGTGCCAAGCAAAATGGGGGAAAAACCCTGATAAAACCATCAGAAAACATGAGAACTCATTCATATCACAAGAACAGCAGCATGGGGGTAACTGCCCCCATGATTCAATTATCTCCCACCAGGTCCCTCCCATGACACATGGGGATTATGGGAACTACCATTTGAGCTTTAGATTTAGTGGGGGACCCTGTCAAACCATATCACCTCCTTCAAGTCTTTCACTCAAATGCTACTGTCTCCATCATGCCTTCCTTATTTCCCTACTTAAAATTATATGTCCTCCTCGTGTTCTTTATTTGCTTTGTCTGCTTTACTTTCCTCCATAGCACTTAGCAACACTTAACATATTATATAGTTTAATTATTTATGTTATTATATATCTCCTTCCAAGAGAATGTAAGCTCCAAAAAGGCATATTTTTTTTATTATCTTTTTTTCACTGCTATATCCGCAGTGCCTACAACAAAATGTGGTACAAGGTAGGAGTTTAATGTGAATGAATGAATGTTAGTCTTATTACCTTTTAAGTTTACCCAATTTTCTAATTTTCTACATTTTCTACCTTCCTTCGTCCTTTCCACCATCCTATGTCCTTCGGGATGTGCATACAGAAAGCAGCAACATCAAGGTAAGAAAGTTTAACCTTTGGATTAATATTAAAATCTTGAGACAGTTTTGCTTTTCTGTTGCCTTTAGCAAAACCACATTCCTGCTGCTGTCAGTTGTGATGCACGGAGAAAACTTCAGAGACCTAAACTTTTTCCAGAGAAGAGAGGCTTTACTGGTGGTTCCAGTCCTAAGATGAGACCAGCTTATGCATCCTGGTTTATATTTTATTTTGTCGCCTTTATTCTCTTTCTCTTTATTTTTCTTTTCTTCTTTCTTACATTTTATTTCTGTTTGGAAAAGACCATGTACAAACAGAGTAATATGTAGATCCATGCCTATCCATCTTAGTATAATCATGTATTCATTGTACTTTGTTGTATACATTTGGTACATATTCTATATATGGACATATGCTATGTATCATAATATACATAACCATTTCTCTGTTGGTGGGCTGTTACAGTATTTTTAATTTCAGATAACAGCAAAAATGATCCTTCAGTTGCTATCATCAATATTTATTTGTACATATCAATGATCATTTTAGAGGATTAGAAACTTGGAAGAAGAATTTTTAGGGAAACCATATATAGTTAAAATGTGTATCTACTTTTCACATTTCATAGATAAAGAGCATCCCGATTTTTTTCTCCACTAACAACACAAGATGACTGGAGAAAAATAAATCACCAAATATCATAAAGATACTTGCGTGTTTTATAAGTGATTAATAACTACTTTCTCATAACAGTAAAAACTATTTTGTTTTGCATGAGAGGATTTTTCACTCTATCTTTTAAAAAAATCATTACATACAAATATATCACATCAAACCTAAAAGCCATTGCTAGCACACTGGTTCCTGTCTTAAGTATGAGACAAAAGGCCTTTATCTTCCAGAAAGTTGTTTATAACATGCCAAATATGTGAACACCCAATAGTCAAAGGAGATTATCTCTGTGATACAATTTTGAAAGTTGGTAAAATAATTTTTATCAATTTCATCCTACAAGCACCCAATTTAAACCATTCTTTTAAAGTGGATTTTAGAAGATTGGAATAGGAAGTTTTAGAAGTCAATCCCTCCACAAAAACTGCCCTTAAACTGCAAAAAATAAGAATTAACCTTTTTGTAACTCTGGATCCTAATCAGATAAATAACAACCATTAGTAGAGTGCTTGATGCTATTGGTCTTTAGTAAGAAAATGGCTGCATGCACACGCCAGATACCATCACTCCTTCTTATTCACAAGAGTCAAAAAGTGAAAACAAACCTGTATGTGTGGATAAGCAAAATGTGGTATGTACATACAAGGGAATATTATTTAGCCATAAAAAGGGAATGATGTTCTGATGCATGTTTACAACATGGATAAACCTTGAAAACATTATGCTAAATAAAATAAGCCAGACACAAAAGGACAAATAGTATATGATTCGACTTATATGAAAGATCATGAATAGTAAAATTCATGTAGAGGGGATTCAGATTGCATGTTTCCAGAGCATGGAGGCTGGGGCAAGGGGAATGGAGAATTATTGCTTAATGGTACAGAACCTCTGTTTGATGTGATACAAAAGTTATGAAAACTGTTAATTATACAACATTGTGAATGTATCCAATATCACTGAGTTTTAGAATTGAAAATGATCAAATGGTACCTTTTATGTTATGTATATTTACCACTGGGTAATAAAATTGTATTAAAGTAGGTGAGGCAATTTTAACAGTTGTACCACTCTGCAGGAGGATATTGATAATGAAGGAGGCCATGCATGTGGAGGCAGGGTGTGTATGTGTATATGTATATATGTGTGTGTGTGTGTAATATATATTTTATATATATTATATAATTATATATTATATATAAAAATATATATTTTTAGCTATATAAAATATGTATTATATATAAAATATGTATTATATATAATATATAATATATATTACATATAAAATATGTATTATATATACACATTGTATCAGGGTACATATATAGTAATATATATAGTATACATGACAATATACTATATATATTACTATATATATGGTAAATCTCTATGTCTTCCTCTTAATTTTTCTGTGAAACCGAAACTGCCCTAAAAAATTCAAGTCCTACAAAAATGAAAGTGAGTTAAAGTACTTTTTCTGGAACAAATAAACTTAGCATAAATAGTTAAAATATTAAGAGTTGTAATTAGGCAGCGGGCGGCCATGTTGGAGCAGCGGAGGCGGCGCAGAGGCGCGTCTTGGGTCCCCGCGGCGGCGCCGGTGCCAAGCGCTGGTTTGTGGATACCCAGGCAGATCTGCAGTGCCTAATGCCATGAGTGTGGTGGTTCAGCATGTGGAGGAAAAAGCTGTGCACTCCTGGTCGCGCATCTCCACGGCTGGGAAGAAGGCCCTGGAAGAGGCGCTGCTTGTCTTTAACCCCATGAGCCAGGATCTCAGTGCCACAGAGGCCCAGCTTGTGGCCTTCCTGCAGGGCCTGCGGGATGATGGCTTCCAACCTACCATCCTGCGCAGTGGTGATGTCTATGGCTATAGTTCATGCACAGCTAATCCCCCAAGCCAGACGAAACTGCAAGCTCGTGCCCCTAACCCAACTGCCACATCACCTCCAGCCAGTGGTCCCCGAACTGCCATGCGGTTGCCCGCAGGTCGGGCCACACTGCTTCCCATGCCACTATCTGGTAGGCTGGCTAAAGCGTCCACACCAGCCCTTGCCAAGCATGCTACCACCAACCTGCTGCTGAGCTCTCTGAAGCAATCAAGTGCCAGCCATGCCCGGGGCGCAGCAGTGGGCTTCCCCACCCACCTTTATCCAGGTGTCTACCCTGCCATGCGGCTCTCTGTTGTCCTTGAGGCCCTGGTTCCACTCAAGACTACAATGCCCTGCTTGGGTGCCAAGCACAAGGCACAGTCACTGCATCTCTCACTTGCAGACTCTCCTCTGAAACTGCGGAAAAGTTCAGGGAAGGGTCCAGGGAACCCCCGGCCCAAAGCTCCCAGAAAAACCACAAGCAAGGGCTCCAAGTGTCTGACTCGCAAAGGCCCTGGGGCTGGACCCCGACGAGGCTCTGGGCACCAGAGCAAAACCAACAGAGCCACTGGGTCCCCCAGTGTCCAGTGAATGAAAGGGGGCTCTGCCCTGGGCACCAAAGCAGCCCAGGCCAAGGTAGCTCGAACACTGGCCAAAGCTGCTCGTTCCCAAGCCAGGGTGGCTCGAACACAGGCCAAGGCTGCTAAGGCCCGGGCCAAGGCCACAGCGGCCCGGGCCAAGGCCAAGGCAGCCCGGGTCAAGGCCAAGGCAGCCCGGGTCAAGGCCAAGGCCAAAGCCAAGGCAGCACGGGTCAAGGCCAAGGCCAAAGTCATGGCAGCACGGGCCAAGGCCAAGACTAAAGCCAAGGCAGTACGGGCCAAGGCCAAGGTGGCTCGGACCCAGCCCAGGGGCAGGGGCAGGCCAAAGGGGTCTGCTAAGACCAGAACTACAAGGAAGGGCCAGAAATACCGCCCTGAGACTGTTGGGCAGAAGAGGAAAAGGGCTGAGGAGGCAAAAGATCTTCCTCCCAAGAAGAGAACACGGCTTGGGCCCCGATCTCCTAAGGCATGGCTAGGGCCTGGAACAGCAAAGCTGCTCAAGTTCCGTGCCATAAAGGTCGATAGGCGGTCCTCCGATGATGAGGTGCGGCAGCGGGCTCAGCGGATTCTCCGCGTGAACCTGTCACCTGAGATACGGCTCCAGCCATTGCTGCCACATTCAGCAGTCTGATTCCTTCACACGGCAATGTTTGGGGAAACTGAGCCCAGCTGTCTGTGTGGCCAGTGGTACAGTGTGCTATGCCCGTGGACTCCACAATCCTGAGGACTCCGGGTACCTCTCTAGGGCCCTTGTGACCACCAGCCTCCTTTCAGAAACTGGAGGGGGTGGGTTAGGGTGGGGTGGGTGGGTGGGAGGGGTGTTTTCATGGCGCGATGCACTGTGACTTGCTATTCAAGTTGTATGTCTACTGTTAAAAAAAAAAAAAAAAAAAAAAAGAGTTGTAATTAAGGGAAATTTCAGCTCAATGTGACTTCAACAGTTTAAATAATGTATTACTACACATAAGACCATGGAGAGAGGAACTGGAAGCACCAGAATGGATTGGGTCAGAAATTGAAAATGATATTATCAGTGACCCAGGTTTGAATGTGTCTCTCCACAGCATTAATTTCACTAATGGATGTGAGCTGGTTGGCAGCAGTAGCTTGGACAACATGCTTGTTTACAGTGAGTGCTAGAGAGAGGCAGGGTTTGCTTTCCCAGAAAATCTGAAAAAGATCATCAAACCTCAATTTCCTTAGCCTTCTTCTTCCATGAGCAAATCACTAGCAGATGATTGCTAGCGAGGTGTTACTATTACAATGAACCCCTAAATGTCAGAGAAAGAGTTAATTCGGGGAAATATCCTCTCCACCACAATCTTAGTCATTTAAGTCAATTTAACAATATATGGAAATATTTTTCTCAGAAGTTTAAAGTTCCATTAAAGAGCAACAGTTACAGAAATTATAGCTAGCCTTTAGTTCTACAAGTGACATCTCAAAAGGAAGATGATTCATCAATTTCAAACTTTCCATGCAAGTAATACTGGATGAAAATTAACTTGGCGAATATAATTAATAATCATGGGTTATTAATTACTTCTGCAAGGTGGATGTGCTGATTTTAAAAGGCTTGAATAAAACATAAATTTCCTTAATTTGATACTGTAAATGGAGTAATTTGGTAATGTAAACGGTAATATTTAAGTGATTTTTGCTTCAGATCTTACAACTTAAAATATTTTTTCTAAAATTAGTTTTTATACCCTCTCTCCAGCATGTTCCAGCCTATGTCAGTCAGTCCAGGCTTCTATAACAAAATATCATGGACTGAATGGCTTACACAATAGACATTTCTCACAATTGTAGAAGCTGGAAAGTGCAAGATTAAGGTGCTAGCAAATTTGTTTCCTGGTGAGGGTTCTCTTCCTGGCTTGCTGTATCTTCACATAGCAGATAGACAGAAAGAGAGAGAGAGAGAGAAAGAGAGAGAGAGAGAGAGCACTCTATAGACTCTCTTCCTGTTCTTATAAGGACACAATTCCATTGATGAGGACCCTACGCTCATGACTTTGTCTAAACCTAATTAATTCTCGAAGGCCTCACTTCCCAATACTGTCACATTGTGGGGTAGAGCTTTAACATATGAAGTTTAAGGGAAAAGGGATATTCAGTCTAGAACAAAGTCCCATGAATTTCAAAAAGCTGTGGGACAGGAGGGAATGGGGATGGTATTCAATGGTACCACATCCAAGCAATTCTTGTATGGCTAAAACAAAACAAAATCAATATAATAACATGAAATTTTACATAGAAGCCTATCTGATTATAAACTGTATGTTTGCCATAGTCAATATTGTTATACATTGTTTTAAAAATACTGAATAGTGTTCTTTGTTTAACCAAATAATAGAGGCATTAACTAGTTTCCGAGTGCTGCCAAAAGAAATTGCTACAAACTTTGTGGCTTAAAATAGTAACAAAAACAAAACAAAACAAAAAAATTCTCTCCCAATTATAGAGGCCAGAAGACCAAAATCAAGGTGGAGGCAGGACCACACTTCCTCTGACGGCTCTGGGAAAGAATCTTTCCTTGCCTCTTCTAGCTTCTGGTGGTGGCTCCTGGCACTCCTTGGCTTGTGACAGCATAACTCTAACCTTTGTCTCTATCTTCACATGACCTTGCTTGTGTTTCTGTGTCCCAAATACCCAGGACTCACTCTAAATTCAGGATGATCTCACCCTGAGATCTTTAACTTTATTATATCTGTAAAGCTCCTATTTCAAAATAAGGTGACGTTTACAGGTGCTGGAATGAGAGAGGGTCTAGGACTCAGACACACCTTTATGAGGATTCTATGTGACCCATTACAAGGCATAAAGTAATTACCATAGGCAAACCGCTGAGGAGAGCTCACTCCAGTTTGAAATATATTTATGTTTCCATGTAAGGAGAAAATTTGTCCCTGCTTCAGTTCATCTAGGCATCAGTACAAGGGTGGGATTCAGAGACATATAGGTGTGGAATACCACATCCCACCACACTTAAAAAGCTGGCATACTAAGTTCATAAACAGTGTAGAATGTGAAGTTGAGTTGAGAATGCTTATGCCATACAGTTTATGTATCTTACAATAGCCTTAATTATACTTCCAGTAATTTCCCCCACCATTGGGTGCTAAAAAATAAAATTAGTTAAAGAATTAGATAGAATAAAAATATATCTATACCTCTTTCAGTGGAAGAATGCTGTCGGCACATTTTGTTATTTTATTCCATTGTATAAAGTCTTGGTAGTGCTCTCTTCATAAACGTATTGAAGGTTTGGCTAAATTGTATCAAAGTTGTGATTAAATACAAATGTGAATACTATAAAATATTACAAAGGACAATCTGAATACTATTCTATACCAATTTTACAATTTTACAATGACTTACAGATGCCATAAATATTTACTTTAAGGGAATAAAATAAATTATAAAATCATATTTAAGAACACCTAAATCCTTGAGTAAGTTTAAAATGGTATTATTATTTACGTATGAAGTTAACTGACTATTGAAAGCTTATTTTTCAATAATGGAAACATACGCATTATCTAAAACACATATTCCAATATTTTCAAGAAACAAAATACTGAATTAAATCATCTGTAGTTAAATGTTTATCTATTTTGGTTATAAAGGTCCATGAAAATGTTTAAAATTGGTTTATTTGATCTAAAAAGTTAATAAGCAATTTTTATTTTTAATGTATCATTTTTCCCATTTATTCTTTTCTAAATAACACTTTCATCCAAAATAGATGACAGAAGAAACAAAATGCCATTTTCTTTACGAAATTGTAAAACATTTCAATAATAACTCAGATGCTGTTCAAGGTGTTGACGTGTACAATATAAACGATTGCATTGGCAGTTGAATAGTAGCAGAGTAGAAGCTGAGAAAATGAATCTTGTATAAAAGCAGTTTAAAACAGATGGTAGCAGAGCAAAGAGTTTCCTGCCAACACCCTCTAAAAATCCGTCCTTTTAGGCTTTTGTGCTGGTATTAGGTTTAAGTTATAGACAAGACATATATATGTGACCTTTTCCTTTCCTTTTCTACACCCTGGGGTCAAAGTCTCCTGTAAAAGGATATTTGCAGCAAGTATTTTCAGCTGGAATAGGAGGCAAAGGCAGGGTAGGAGAGCAGTATGATCACCTCTTGCCAATGCAACTTCACTTGATTTGCAAATGGTGTTTAGTAAAGAATTTTGCTATGCAAAAATAGTGTCTTAATTGGATTATTGTAAGACAAAGCGGCCGGGCGCGGTGGCTCAAGCCTGTAATCCCAGCACTTTGGGAGGCCGAGACGGGCGGATCACGAGGTCAGGATATCGAGACCATCCTGGCGAACACGGTGAAACCCCGTCTCTACTAAAAATACAAAAAACTAGCCGGGCGAGGTGGCGGGCGCCTGTGGTCCCAGCTACTTGGGAGGCTGAGGCAGGAGAATGGCGTAAACCCGGGAGGCGGAGCTTGCAGTGAGCTGAGATCCGGCCACTGCAGTCCAGCCCGGGCTACAGAGCAAGACTCCATCTCAAAAAAAAAAAAAAAAAAACAGACAAAGCATGCATTTTTCATGTTGTATTAGTATTTTATTAATAAGGCTAAGGAAACCTACTAAATCCCTATGCTAAAGTGAATTTGATTCTCCCATAGAAACTTAAATCCTCAGGGTGATGCAACTCAGTTCTGCTACAGCAGCTCTTTTACAAATGCCTCCCAAAGCTCCAAGAAGGGACAAAGAATGTGACCCAGTAAGCTCACACCATGAGTCTATATTGCAGAGACCTTTGTTCAACGAAACTGCAGATGCTCTGTTGAATCCACGGGAGATTGTCCTGATACTAAGGACAAGTATATAAGTTAATGATTTTATTAATTGTAACGTTTTTCAATGTTTTCCTTTGGGGAATTCTAATTTATGTATCAATATTCAGGAATATTTGCTGAAAACGCAAACTCTGAAAGTCAAAATGATCTGCGTTCACATTCTCATTTTCTATTATAACATAGAGACAACTACTTTATCATTTTTTTAGAAACTTTCGCAACTACTTTAGTTTCTTCCTAATTTTATAAATTAACCTATCTCAAAAAACTTTGCCCAGAAGAGTTAGTAATAGCTATCCACTTCAGAAAAACTCAAACTTTAAAAATAACTTTTAGAAGGAAAATGAAATACAGAAATAATACATCTCATTTACACTTAATTAAAAATAATACGAATGGTCACTATTTCCTATGAAAACATCTCATGCCAAGTTCTTTTATTACGCTTGGATTTAAAATGTTATATTTTAGTTGAAACTGGTAGAATCTTCGTAAAATTATAACAATAAGAAATTTTTATATTATGTATGTAATATAGAATAATCACATTTAATTCCACTTGTTAGTCTATTCTGATTATTTAGCAGGTTGATTCATAATTTACCAACTTGGGTCAGAAATACTTTCTATTCTTAGCTTTTGCTGTCAGCAGAGATAATAATATAGAGTCTGAACAACAAAGGATTGTGTATTGTTTCGATTTAATTAAAGTTGATTCCCTGCTTTAAGAGAGACTCACATTTTATAGAATTTTTTTAATTAAAAAGAGAATGTAGATATTTGCTTTTCCAAATTTTCCGTAAGATAGGAAAGACATATTTTTTCTTAATTACGCCCTTGCTGAGTCACGCTAGCTGCCTGATCTTGGACAAAATTCTTAACCTCTTTGTGTCTCATTTTCAATAACTGTGAATTAAAGATAATAATTGTAGTATATTTCTCAAGGGATTATTGTGTGAATTAAGTAAATAATCCTCTAAAATGCTTAGTACAGATTCTGGAACATAATAAGCAGAAAAATTAACATTTTTATTTACTATGACAT